AACTAAACACAGTTCCAGAGTCTCAGTGTGAGGTTACTGGCATGGGGACAGTATTGTTGGGATATGTTGGGCACCAAGTTTCACTATGGCAGGCCTAGTCCTGGGTTTCAAGTAAAAGGTCTGGGTTTAATTCCCTTTCCATTTTCCAAGAATGCATTTCCCTTCATTCTGGGCTGCTTGAGGTTGGGAAATGGGCAAGTCTTATCTTCTTTCCTCCTTCAATGTGTCTTTTCTTTTTATCATAGTAAAATCAGGCACTCACCTTGTTTATTGTCTGTTATGAAGCCAGTTTAGTGTGTGAGTAACAATTAATATGGTGTATTTGTGGGAGATCATTAAACAACCCTTCTGGTTCTAGTCCTAAACTATTTAACATCTTACTATAATACATATGCATTAATATTTTATTACATCCAACATTAATCTGCCAGCACAGAGCTAAATTCATCTCACAAGTATAAATTTATTGCTTTGAAAAAGAAATGTAGAGGGAATCTATTGTAGTAATGATGGAAAGAATATCTGTGACTCAGAGCATTTTACTCAAAGTTCTCTGGCCCTTCCTGCCAATGAGTTGATAATTCTGATGTCTGAATTTGGAAAGGAGAATTGCAAGTTTTCAGTAATCCATAAATTCACCTGTGATATGTTTAATCCCATCCATGTGCCTATACACCTACTAACCAGTGCAAAACTATCTCTAGCTCTACATAAATAAATATTTAATTCAAATGAAAAAAAATCCCCATTCTTGTCTGTTTTTTTGTAAAGAGGATGTGCATTGTAATTTATAGGTAACCCTACAAATAGTAAATCATAGAACCAGAATTATAAAGATGATTTTATGTGGAATGATTATATAAAGAAACCTTATCTCATCAAGTATGACTGCAGAGAATAGAAAGGACACTATCTGAGATTTACAAGAAAGAATTAAATAAAATTCATCCTATACTGCTGTTTTGAGCAATCAGCATTCATGGGGACCTCTTAATCCTCCATGGCTCATCATCTGTCCCTTATTTCCCCAAGAACAGATAAACACTTTTTGTCTCTTTAATTCTCCTATGCTGTGGAGAATGCACAGACCCTACCTGAGCAGATGACACCTGCGTC